GAGGGAACTAAGATTTGACTTTAGACGGGATCGAACGCATGTTCGGACACCTTAAACCATTTAAACAACACTCTCCTCCGTAGCCAAGAGGCTAATGTTTAGGGATACTGGTATAACCGGGAGACAAACCCATATGAACCTAAACCTAAATCAGAAGGTCCAGAAAAGACTTAACTGACTCGTGTGTCCAAGAACTGTGAGTGTAATAATTTACTTGTAAAAGGAGTCGGGTTAAAAAAAAAACAATTGTTGCATTATAGTATTATCTTATAAAGATTTTTTTATGATAAGAGAAGAATTGTTTATTAACTGCTTTTATATCAGATGAATAATGTTAACCTTACAGGAAAATTTTTAAAATGAGGACGGAAATTACGGAAATGAGGACGGAAATTACTTAATGAGACAAAAATGTAGGTCATTTGTATGTACTTTATATCAAGTTATTGCAGTTTGTCTGATAACATGTATCTGTTTGTGCAATTATGGTTGTTAAATATTCAGGATTATTCATGTTAAAATGGCATTTTAACATGAATAAGACGGTTGTTATGGTCATGCACGTTTGTTTCGCCAGAGGCTCGAATAATATAATTCTATTCGCGCACACGACACACGCATATACAAACCTTTGTCATTTTACTTCGATAAAAAAAATGTTAAATCTATAAACGAATTTGATCCTTTATATTTTTTTTTATCTTTATTCACACAAATGCTCAAATAAAAAGGATATGGATCCTTTACTTATAGCTAGTCATAAATATTCATTGCGATACCATTATAATTCATATGGCAATGATTCTAAAAAAAACTCCTACATAATCCAGAATTTTCCAGAGATGGTGTCCAGCTTTGCAGATAGAAGGATCCATTCGTATCTATTGTTTCTCTAGTGGTTTCTCCTGTTTAGAAAGTATCAAGTCCTCTAGGCACATGCTTCCCTTTTCGTTGCCGTCTGTCTAAGCTCATTTTCTAGGCTATCTATATGGAAGTTTATTACTTAATATCATCGATTCTAATCCTACATATGTCTTGGCATACCTTTTTTTACTACCTCTGTATGCTCTAGTACTTTCTTATTCATAGACACGTCCTGTAAAGCCAATATTGATTATTGAATAAATATTTATCAAAAACTGACGGAATTTAGTAGTTCTCAAACTTGGCAGTTGTGTATTGTGCTGTTTTTTGTTTGTGTGTTTGGTTCCTTTTTTAATGTTTTTTATTTTGTCGTTCTGGATCAGATTTTAGTATTGCAGATTGAATGGCGAAAAAAAGAAAATCCCTAAAGAACGACCAAAACGGCAAAATTGAAAAGTTTGAAAACTCGGTTTGCGTGGGGGATGAGGGATATTGTATTTTTCATAATCCCTCATACACAGACTCAATCAAATTGCAGTTTGCATGTCAGCAATTTTCATGTAATTTTTCTGTTTAAATGCTTTAGATGGATCTTTTTTCCTTTAATTTTTCCCACTCCAGTTAAGTTTTGTTCTTGTTATTACTTTTGTCTCCCTGTAATCATTGCCTTCATTGAAGTAATTCTTCGTTCTTCCGGATAGTTTCCCCTTAGCATTTTTTTGAGATAGCCAAAAAAAGGGGGTGAAATAGAAAAAATAAGCATCCCCAAAGAAAGCCCAAAACGACAAAATTGAAAATGCTGCAGGCTCGGTTTGAGTCTGTCCATGGACGGTACTAACATGTGCAAACTACCGTCTACGCCCTCTTGCACCGGCTAAAGCAGAATTCAACATTAATGAGTCATTCTTATAAGATAAGATACCGTTTGGATAGACATTAGCGTTTTGAAGATGTAGTCTTAAAATAAATCACTGATCATTTTTAGCTTTATTGATCACAAAAATGGCTAATAGTAAAGTAAAATTACTTAGACGTTTACCTGTGCACATTGATAATTGGATGGGCATAATCAATTAAAGTAAACCTTTTTGTCAACTTTTATTTTGACTTTTAACCAGACATATTCATAATATTCATGCATGCTAACGTTCGATGCAAAACGGAGGACATCTTGCTATGTTCCTCGACAACTGGTGCTGTTCAAGACTATTTGATGATGACACGTCGAAAGCTTGAGACGGTCTATCAGATTTCTTCACGATTTTTACACGATCGTCTGTTTTTTTTGCAATGGAATCTGAAACAAAAAGTAAAACAAAAAAGATTTTTTACGTTCCGAGACAAATCACAGGTATTGATTGTTATTATTATAATATCCTGCAATTATTCTCCGGTCGTGGAATCCAGTTATTACTTGTCAAATCTACATGTTCCTTTTACTTGTCCTTTTTTTTCTTGGCTTTAAAATCATTGCCATTACATTTATTCTTTAGAATTTCAGTCAATATTTTTTTTAAATCAAGTTGTTCTTTGTGAATCAATTAAGTTATTTCTTGTGATTCAAGATACATGTACAAGTTTCGATTAAAATCATCCTTATATCACATTTATAAACTTTCTTTTGTCATTCAATTTTTTTCTGACTTCAGTAAATATTTTGTTCTTGTTGTCACTACCTTTGTCTCCTTCATTGAAGCTATTCTTCGTTTGTCCGTTAGTCACGTGGATCATTGATCACTTTTTACATTATTGATCACAAAAATGGCTAAAAGTAAACTAAACTTACTTTGACGTTTCCCTGTACACATAGATACTTGGATGGGCATAATCAATTTATGGAAACCTGTCTGTCAGCCTTTATTTTGACTTTTAACCAGACAATGATTTATGTTACAGTAATGATATTCATGCTTACGTTCCATGCAAAGTGGGGGACATTTTGCTATGTTCCTCGACAACTGGTACTGTTCAAGACTATTTGATGATGACATGTCTATCAGTCGGGACGTTTTATCAGATTTCTTCACAATTTCTACGTGAGCCTCTGTTTTCTTCGCAATAGATGCTGAAACAAAAAGTAATGGATTATTTTTATGTCCTAAGACAAATCACAGGTATTGATTGTTATTATTATATGTCCTTGCAGTTATTCTCCGGCCATGATATCCAATTACAATTTGTCAAATCCACTTGTTTCATTTTCTTGTACCTTTTTCCTTTGCCTTAAAATCATTGCCATGACATTTATTCTTTGGAATTTCAGTCAATATTTTTTAAATCAAGTTTTTCTTTATGATTTAAGTTGTTCCCTGTGATTCAAGATACAACTTGAGATTTAAATCAACCTTAAAACATGCTTATTTACTTTCTTTCGTCCTTCATTTTTCCCACTCAAGTTAAGTTTTGTCTTGTTTTAATTACTTTTGTCTTCCTGTTATCAATGCCTTTATATTGAAGCTATTTTTTCCGTATATTTTCGGCTTTAAATTAACATTTTGTTGAGATAGCCATAAAAATGGATAGTCCTTCTTATAAGATAATAGACATTAACCTTTTGAAGATGTAATCTCTTCTTATTATTAGCTAAATGTTCTAGATACGAAATATAATTAATGGGACCAGGTAAGAACGAACGCGTCCATGTTAAGCATAAAGATATTCTGGAAAGTGTAGTAATGAAATTTGAATATCTGTAAATATAGTGATCTCTCGGAAGCATTAAATACAGAGAAAAATATATGATAATTGCAGACTCGGTTTGTTTGAGTCTGTACATGAAGGATAATAAAAGTGCAGCATTCATCAAGCCCGCAAGCACCGGCTTGAGCGGTACTCTATTCTCAACACTTAAAAGTGTTGGACTTTTAAGAAAACAACAAAAAAATGAATAATACAGTCTCGTTTTGATTATCTCTGTTCACGAGAGATGATAAAAAAGCTCGTTTCTGAAATATATGTCTTGCTTCAAATTTAATACTTACTAAGTCCGGCATTAATGCATGTAACAGATTTACACTGTAATTATCATATTTACCGGTTGTTGTTGTGTTTTTTTTTAATTTTGAGCACCTTAACAATTCTCAACACGAAAGAATGCATCAATTGTTTAAAAAAAAAGTGAAAATGAGTAATTAAGCTAAAATGATTAACAGTAAGCAATTGCAGTTGTTTCGGAAAAAAAGAGTTGAAAAGTTGCAAGTGTATAATGATTGAGAAAATCTTACCAAAAACGATACCAGATATCAAAATGAAAACGTATAAACCTATAGTTGAAATCCATGTTTTTACATGCACTGAAAAGGACACCTTGTGTGTGTATATATATATTTAAATCTTCTGAATTTAATTGACTCCGTCACTAGTAATTTTGAAAAAAAAATAGTCTTAATTGAATGTATATGTACATGATGCAGATTACAATATGTATAAGTAAAAATCTGTCCTAGTGTAGACAATATTGTGCGTCTTTTATAGACTACTTTAATTACAACAGAAAACGGAATGAATAATAAATTGGCGATTTGAATTTCAATCTTATCGACATTTGAAACTGTAAGCTTTTTTTAAAGCAATAATACAGTAGGGAGTTATATTCTTATATTCACCAAATAGATAAAATGATCGGATTAGAAATTAAACAATACAAAAGTGAAAACAAGAAATATCTCCAGGAGGTCTATCTGCATACAATATCGAGGGTTTGGTGCGAAACAGCCGTATATCTTGTTACATAATAATGGAGTTACGTCCGTTTCGCGTGCTATAGACAGACAGAAATGCCACATTTTGTTTTGAGTTACATGTACAATATTTCATTATATTATCTAATCAAAACGGTTACCAATATGAAATTCGTTTATCTTCTTTGGGAAGTAACACGTCAGATTTCTGTATCGTTATACGACCGGTAATTGGCTGATTATTTTAAGAACACAATTATGCAAACGGTGATTGGCTGTTTATTTTAGGAAAACAATTATGCGCCGGTGATTGACTGTTTATTTTAGGAAAACAGTAAAATTAATAAAACTTAAGGTTATTCATTCTTTTCTGAGAAAAAGAGAGACTGTTTCATGATATCTAGAAGTTGGTTTTTTTCCATTCGTATATTCACATTTTACATACTGGTCATAGAAGAAGAAAAATGTATCACACCATGTAATGCATGAACTGGACATGGACAATTCACGAAAGAATATGTAAAACACGAAATCGCAACGAAAAGCAAAACTGTTTATAGAATTAAAGCCATGATAAAACTACTAGTAATTGTATATTTTAACCGTGACAATATCGGGTATTATAATGCTAACGTTCAATTTTGGATATGAAATTAGCACCTCTTCTCATTGCAGGAAGTCGTAAACATTTGTTTAATACCACTTTATATCCAGGCGGACAAATAGATCTTTTGGCAGTCATGCCAAGTGAACTAATGCATAACCAAGGATGTTCAGGAGAAGGTTTCGAGCCGGGTGGACAGGAAGATCTTTTCATATCAACGCATAATCCGTGCTCTTTGGAATCTGCCAAGCCCCATGGGCATGTTTTCCTTTTCTCTCTGGTCTGTTGTTGCTCAGTTCTTAGGCTATTTGTCGGCAAGTTTATTGCACGTGATGCCATCGATCCTAGTGCGGCAGATGTCTTGTCAGACCTTCGTGATACCTCTACATTCTCTAGTACTTTCTTATTCATGGTTATGTCTTGCATCGCCACAATAGATGCTGGAATATACAGTATACAGCAAAACCTGATCATATAAAGGCTGTTACTTTAAACATATTTTATTTAGCAAATATACAAGCATGTATCAGTTTACATCACAATATATATAGATTGGATAACAAACATAACACTTATATTAGTTCCCTAGATCATTATCATTTCAATTTATATTATCAGTGCATGTTTCAAATTTCAATATTGATTTAAATTAACATTTCATGTAGTATTATTAGGTTTTGTCTTTGATTAATTTTGCTTTTGAAATAAAAAAGAAGATAATAATAATAATAATAATAATAATAATAATATACAATTAATATATTAATATGCTAGAATTTTTATGAGTCTTTGGGAATATTTCTAGGGACCTTGCATTAAAAGCAAGTCATACTTGAGATTTAGTTCAGGATTTTATGTCTAAATTTTAAAGAATTTGCCAGTAACTTGAGGAAAATAAGTATTGGTACAGCAATATGGAAACACTGGCCAGCTTAAATACCCCTGTCATATGAGGAGTCACTGCAACAAAAGAAGCAAGCGAATAAAACACAATAGATTAGCACAACAGTCGTATCAAATACATTACAGTCAAACCTGTGAAACAAAGGTTATTAAAGACGAAGCTGACATGGCCTTTTAACATGGTGGTCTTTACTTTGAGGTTACACTGTGCTATTTATTAAATGGCAGGTAGTCGAAGAAAAATCTTTATTTATAGTGTGATCTTTATTCGGAAGTATTCTTAAACACAGGTCTTAGTGTAGTTATATCAATCTTGATAGCAGTATGAAAAGTACACGTATTTTTATCTATTTAATAATAGTGACATTATTTTTTTTAACTTAGCGTGACGTTAATTTGCAGCAGCCCTCTGCATAATAAAACTTTAATTATAATAATAAAACGATTAAAGACTTGTTATATATACGTATTTTTAATTATTAGTTGTTACTTAGTCACCTGTCCAAAATCAATAATGTCAACGATTTTATGTATGTCTTGTGTGTTAAAGCATGCAATGCGTTAGAAAAAAATGTCACAAAACGGACTCAAATGAAATCTGAACACAGAACGATGCTTGTCTTAAAATGTCACAGGGTGAGAAAAATGCGCAGCTGACCGGAACTCGAATCCGGGACCCTCGGAATACCGTACCGCGCTCTAACGACTGACTTTCTGGTCGCTTACACATGAAGCGTGACATACTCCCCCTTTATATTATAATTATTAGCCAAAATCGTCTTGCCTGTTCCGGCGCAATATGACATATACTGCCTTGGTACGTCGTTAATCCAAACAAACTATACGTAGTTTTAATTTTATTATGATGCCGGTTTCCGCCTGTAAGGAATAAGGAGACCATTAAACGACTCTTAAACCATTTGAAGAACACTTAAAGGAACTTGACACAATTCTTTCATCACAACGAGAACTGTCACAGCACAATATTTGCATAGCACACTTCAAGGCCATTGTCTCAATTATAGACCAAAGACTTTTCACTTTCATTTGTCAGTTGTTAAATATATTACATTATATGGCTTGTCTGGCAGTTTCGTATGTATCCTTAGAGGGAAATTATTTATTGTATTATCGTTAAGTGTCACCATTTTTATGTATTAGGTATTTTTAGAATTTTTCTAGTGCTAGCATTAGACAGTAAGCCTATTGAGGTACAAGTTGCCATCTTTATTAACGTTAAACACGTTAATTTCTTACCCTTACCCACGGACTTCCGGTCGAAGCTTTTTTAGCCGTATTATTGCTTTCGGATGGCTATTTTATGGGTTCTTTTTTGTGCCATGTCGTATTTTCGCTCTGTGTGGCTCCAGGCTAAAACATGAAAACACTTTGTGATATTTTCGTGTTTTCATTAGAGGAGCGAAAATAAGAAAAGGCACAAATCAGCCACCTTACTGTTTAATGTTTATACGGACGTTATCCATAGTTTTGTAAATGATTTCCCTTGTCACATATGTATCTCCACATCACATATGAAGCTTAAATGGTACCTTTGTTTCGGGCCCAATCTTAATTTTTTTCTAAATATTTAGCAACCTTTTGCGGTTAGATTTCTGATAATTTGAGTCTGTTTTGCGATATTTTCTTCATAGGCATTGCATGTTTTTGTCAAAACTATGATGGAAAGAATATCATCACAAATAATGTGCGAACATTAGATACAAAATTGATAAAAGAAGAGGAGGGTCTGGAGGGTAGAGAACTACATTTCAATTTTCTTCAAAAAAGTTTTGAATTAAAATGTTGAAAAGTTGAAAGCTTTCACTGCATGCGAGTTATGGACACATCTAGATCAGGTATTTTATTACGATGCTCAATTTTGAGACACATAGACTTCAGCTTATAATTATTATTTAGATCACAAACTCACATTGTAATAATTAATGAATATACATATATTTCTTTGTATCATATGAAAGAACATCTACACGAAAGAAAAAAGTGTCTATTTTTTAAAAAGAAAACAAGAAAACAAGAAAATAACCCGAAAGAATGTCTAAAGGAGACAACAGTATAATAAAACCGAAAAAATAAAAATAAATTGAAATGATAGATTATGAAAGCTGCAGGCCTCCAGATGAGCAAATATATTTCAAGAAAATCAATCTTGAGAAAAAAGTACTTAGATATAAAGAAAAGAATTAATGACTTATTTTGCAGTATTTATCACCATATATCTACTGCGTTACTAACCGTTTTTTTCTTTCATATTCTGACCTATTGTTTATTGATTTTCCTAGATTGCAATATGTAAATGAGATTCTTTGACAATACATTTTTTTCAAATACATTTCAAAAAATCGTAATGAAAATTAGCATGCATCTTAAAGCATGATGCTTTAACAAAACTTAAAATAAGAAATAGTGATTATAAAGATAATCCAGAAGTGATTATATAAAAGACTTACCAACAATTATAACTGGTATGTAAGTCAAAAGTAAAAACCTAAAGTTAAAATCCATGTTGCCGCAAATTCTTACAATGTCACCCTGTGACTATACGGAGGCCATTTATAGCTTCTGAATTTAATTTATTAACATTTATTAAATCAATAATTTATTTGGAATGAATGTATTTAATTAAATATATTAATATATACAACATGTGTAATATAATGTAGTATAATGTATATGTACATTTGTCCTAATATCGACAATATCGTGAGTGTATGTGTGTGCGTGCGCATGCATGCGTGCGTCCGTGCGTGCGTATGTTTCCAGAACAGATTATACAATATAACAGAACATACGAGGTAAGATCAAAACGTGCTCGAAATAATTCTAGCCACTACACTGACATTTACACTCGATACCTTGATAGCGATATCTTATTGAAGCTTACTGACCGAGTTACACGCGGGTTTACACAGATTAAGTAACATAAAACACAATTTGATCAGTAGAGGGGTATGTCATACAGACCAAATGGAGAAAGTCAAAATCAGAGTCGTCATTAAGTACCTCTGCAAGAAAGGGATGTCCCCCAAGGAAATCCATGGAGACTTCATGGATACACTTGGGAAGGAGTCCCCTTCCTATAGCACTGTGGACAAAATGGGCTGCTGGATTTAAGAGGGGCAGGGAGAGCATGTGAGATGATGAGTGGTCTGGGCGACCAAAAGAGGCCACCAACGATGAAACTGTCATAGCTGTACACGATCTGGTCATGTGCGACAGAAGGCGAGACCTGCGAAGCATTGCTATGGAAGTGGTTATAAGCTTTGGTTCCGTTCAGGCAATTCTGATTGATATCTATGGCATGTCAAAGGTTCCGCTAGATAGGTCCCAAGACAGTTGACTGTCAGAAATGGACCAGGCTTGACATTTCAAGATAATTATGCTTTGTCTCGATACGAGAATGAACTAATTTTATCTACCGGATCGTAACTCAGGATGAAACATGGTCCATCACTTGGATCCAGAATCCAAAAATACAGAGCATGCAATTGAAACACCCTGGCTCACCCCTCCGAAGTAATTCAAGAGGGTGCCATCAGCAGGGAAGATGATGGCTTCAATTCTTTGGGATAGTCAGGGGTAATGATGATTGACTACCTTGAGCAATGTTATACCTAAAACGGTACGTACTATGCAGACAAATTGAGACGTCTGCGTCAAGAAATCGCGCGTTAAGGAGGGGCAAACTGACTCAAGGTGTTCTGCTTCTGCACGACAATGAGCCAGCATACACATCCAAAGTTGCTATGGCTGCTGCAACTGACTGCGGCTTTGAAATTCTTCCCCATCCCAATATTCTCCAGACTTGGCCCCTTGCACCATGCTTCGTGGTGAACGTTTTGGAAGCAATGAAGGTGTCATGGAGGCAGTCAATGAGTTCTTTGAGGACAAAAATAGAGAGTTCTACGTTGAAGGGTTAAACAAGTTGGAGCACAGTAGGACAAAGTGCATTGATGTAGAGGGCGATTATATTGAAAAGTAAGACCATTAGTTGGGTTCTACCAGAAGTAAATCGGGCCAAGAACTTTTTGATCAATCCTCGTACAAGGCAATTTAAACAACTGGACCACAACAACAACAGTCTGGTTTAGGCATATAAACGCTTGACCTGATACAAATAACCTTCAACACCTTCAGCATCTCAAAACGGACATTGATTAAATTACATTGTAGTTATTAATGTTAATATTAATAAATGGTATTTATGCTCCCCGAAAAAATTTCGGGGGAGCATATAGTCGCCGCCTTGTCCGTCCGTCCGTCTTTCCGTCCGTCCGTCCCCTTTTCTTGTCCGGGACATAACTTTGAAACAACAAGAGGTATCAACATGAAACTTTGTAGGTAGATAGATCTCATTGAGTAGGTGTGCAGTGCACAAGAACCGTAACTCTGCCTTGCCTAATTTTTGAATTATTCCCCTTTGTTTATTTTTACACTTTGAACTTTGTCCGGGACATAACTCTAAAAGTATAAGAGGTATCAACATGAAACTTTGTAGGTAGATAGATCTCATTGAGTAGAAGTGCAGTGCACAAGAACCGTAACTCTGCCTTGCCTATTTTTTTAATTATCCCCCTTTGCTTATTTTACACTTTGAACTTTGTCCGGGACATAACTCTAAAAGTATAAGAGGTATCAACATGAAACTTTGTAGGTAGATAGATCTCATTGAGTAGGTGTGCAGTGCACAAGAACCGTAACTCTGCCTTGCCTAATTTTTGAATTACCCCCCTTTGTTTATTTTACACTTTGAAATTTGTCCGGGACATAACTCTAAAAGTATAAGAGGTATCAACATGAAACTTTGTAGGTAGATAGATCTCATTGAGTAGAAGTGCAGTGCACAAGAACCGTAACTCTGCCTTGTCTAATTTTTGAATTATCCCCTTTGTTTATTTTACACTTTGAACTTTGTCCGGGACATAACTCTAAAAGTATAAGAGGTATCAACATGAAACTTTGTAGGTAGATAGATCTCATTGAGTAGGTGTGCAATGCACAAGAACCGTAACTCTGCCTTGCCTAATTTTTGAATTATCCCCCTTTGTTCATTTTACACTTTGAAATTTGTCCGGGACATAACTCTAAAAGTATAAGAGGTATCAACATGAAACTTTGTAGGTAGATAGATCTCATTGAGTAGGTGTGCAGTGCACAAGAACCGTAACTCTGCCTTGTCTAATTTTTGAATTATCCCCCTTTGTTTATTTTACACTTTGAACTTTGTCCGGGACATAACTCTAAAAGTATATAAGAGGTATCAACATGAAACTTTGTAGGTAGATAGATCTCATTGAGTAGGTGTGCAGTGAACAAGAACCTTAACTCTGCCTTGCCTAATTTTTGAATTATCCCCCTTTGTTTTATTTTTACACTTTGAACTTTGTCTGGGACATATTTCTTAATGTATAAGAGATATATCAACATGAAACTTTGTAGGTAGATAGATCTCATTGAGTAAGTTTGCAGTGCACAAGAACTGTAACACTGTCTTGCCTACTTTTGTAGTTATTGCCCTTTGTTCATTTTGACACTTTGAACTTTGTCTGGGACATTACTCTAAATTATAAGAGATATCAACATGAAACTTTGTAGATAGATAGGTCTCATTGGGTGGAAATTCAGTGCTTAAGAATCATTACTCTGCCTTGCCTTATTTTGAAGTAATTGCCCTCTGTTTATTTTTACTTTTTGACTTTTGTCCTGGACATTACTTTAAAACTATTAGAGATATCAACATGAAACTTTGTAGGTAGCTAGATATAATTGGATAGAACTGCAACGCTTCAAGAACCTAAACAAAGCCTGGTCTAATTTTGGAGTTATTGCCCTTTGTTCATTTTTTTTATACTTTCCTGTGTCCAGAACCTTCTCGGGGAGCATCACCCGGTTCAACCGGTTCTTGTTTTTGTCTTATTATGAATGTATTATTCCTATTTATACATGCTGTTTTATGTAGGAATGTTCATGATTATTTGTAATTTTAAAAAATATACTTTTACTATGTAACAAAATGCCTTGTATCGAAAATGAATGGGCAAGTCAATTGCTGTTATTTCATAAGGTCAACAATGCATGTAATTGCATGCGTTTACAAAACAAGTATGGCACAATTTGTACAAGGGGAAAAACCAAGATAATTATTATGCAACGATTATCAAGATTTATCTTCTTCTGTATTCCTTGTATGTAAAAATATCTTATTTTACAAAACAAAAATCCAGTATAGGATGAATTGGTTGACTCAAGGTAGAATTTCTATAAAGTCTTTTTGCTTTTCTGTTTAGAGCAACACAATGTAAATAATGTAATAGTTTTACTTCCATACAAAATACTAAATCACTAAATAACTGCACTTTTTGCCAAAAAAGTAACAGAAGAAAAAGATAAGATGGCGAAGGTAATTGTTTGGAAAATATAATCGGGCATAAATAAAAAACTTTTAAAAAATTATTATAAAAGAATATCTGAGTCTTAATTGGCCTTAAACTGCATGTTTTAAGATATTTTAATGTCATAAAGTCAAGTTTTTAGGCAAGCAGTGATTTGGAAACATATCGCATTAGACGCCGGTGTAACGTTGTAAAGTGACCCCCATAGAATAATGACCCCCCGGTCATTATTTTATATAAAATAATGACCCCCCGGTCATTATTTTATATAAAGTATTGACTCCGCGGTCATTATATTATGACTGGGGGGTCATTTTATTATGACTCCTCACACGTAGAAAAATGACCCCTCACGTAGAAATGTGACCCCCTATAGAATAAGGACCCCCCAATCCAAACCTTGACCTAACCTATCTAAGGTACACTTACACAACATAATTATCTTCATCAATAGACATCGGAGGAGTGATGGCACCCGTCCGTGCATGCGTCCATACTGCACGTTTTTTTTTGACCGCAGTTAGATGGAATTGATCCAAGCTTCAGGGATTACCACTACCGATACCTATTTGTGTGGAAAGAAAAAATAGTTAAAGTCTCCGACCGAGAATCACTTGCCCCTCACCGTTGTGAGTTCGACGCCTACCAGGGTCGTGTATGGGTGACAGGCATACAAACTGTGCGCTGCTCAGTTTATCATTTAAAACATGGGCGATGGACTGCATAGGAACGTTCCATCAACAAAATACGCAACTACTTGTTGTAATTTACGGCCTGTTTGAATATCAATCATCAAAAATATTTATAATCACAGAACTAGCTAGTTTTCAGGGGGCGAGGGTGGCTGGATTTCAATCTAGTATCGTTGGACTTCTTACCAGAACTCGTCTAATCCTGATCTGATGTAACATACTTCGATAGCTTCCTCGCCTGGGAATCGAATCTGGGCAACTGGATTAGGAGTCAACTATATAAACCTCTCTGCGATTGAAATCAAATAATTATTAATTATACAAGCAGAATCACTGTAAGTGACAAGTGTTTGTTAGTGGTTTGAATCATTTTCGTAGTCATCAAAGTTGTATAGTGATTAAACGTCCCACACAGTTAAACTAATGGAACTAGCAATGATGAATAACTTAAAAATATTATCCCTTTTTTCTTTTCATGACCATTCGAAAAATGGTTTTAGAAATCATTTAGCACAAAAAGGATAAGCAATTCATGCAAAAGATCTGAGTTACAGGATAATTACAGCAACCTCTTATTATCATAAATTTTCTTTCTTCCCCAGGACTGTGTACCATTGGAACAACATACCACTTACTGTTGCCCTCCTCCCTACCCCTGAGCAGTTCAGTGCAGCTATATCTAGCATTGAACATGTCTCGCCTTAGTTGTACAGCCCGCTTGCGGTGAGCTCGACTTTGTCGCCACTTTTGGCAGTTTGGTTTGGTGTATGTGCGTACGTCCGTCCGTCCGTCCGGATTTGTCCGGCCTATATCTCGCTCATTTTTTGAAGGAATTCAAAATAACTTGAGATGTATGTTTACCTTAATGAGAAGACGTGTCGCGCACAACACCCAGATCCGCTCGTCAACGGTCAAGGTCACACTTGGAGTCGGCGCAAAATCCGTGTCCGGAGCATAACTTCTATATGGATGGAGGGATTTTAATATAATTTGGCATAAATGTTCTCCATGGCAAGGCGGTGTGTCGCGCGAAAAATTTAGGTCTCTGTGGCAAAGGTCAAGGTCACACTTAGAGGTCAAATGTCAAATAACAAGTTCAAGGTTACATAGACCTTAAAACTGAAAACGGTTTCCGCTCAATAACTTAATTATTGTTCAACCTTCAGCTGCCAAACCTGATAGGATGATCACCCATATTTAGTAAATGACCCCTATTGTTTTTGGGGTCACAATATCAAAGGTCAAGGTCATTATCATTCTTTCATCTTCACAAATGTCCATTATGAATCTTTCTGTGAAAATTTAAACCTACAAAGCGGGCTCGACATTCTGCCCGTGGGCATGCAGAATGTATTTCTAGTTAACCCTTTTAAACATTCTTTTAAATCTTTTTTAAACTACTTTTTAAACCTTCTTGCGATTTTGAAGCGCAACCATGTCTACGTCCCCGGGGATGTTTGACATTACCGGAAGACAGACAGACAGACGGACAAACGGACAGACGGACGGACATACTTCTAATTTTGACCTAACATGACTCAGTTTTAAACTCACTCGAATTAACTAGCATTCTGACCAAATTTTATAAAGATTCGTATAAAAATGTGGCCTCTAGAGTGTTTTTACTTTTGTGTGAATATAGATACGGGTCTTGGTAGCATTATCGTTGAATTTGCTAGATCTGATTTTATCACATGACATCGCTTGTTTTTCATGTAATATAATCATTACGAATTTCTTTATATTTAACACGTGTAATATAACTTTGACGTGACTCATTTCCGCCAATACATTCCATATAGAAAAAAGGCGTGAAAAGCGTGCGTATTCATAGCGGTAAAAAGGGTTTATTTTATATGTTTTATTTTTATGTTTTAAGTCATGTGATAAAACGAATCTCACATTCGTTGTCAAAAAATATAATATTTTATTAAACTCGTTCAAGAAAATGTTATAAAGCTCGCCCGAGGCTCGCTATATAACATTTTCTTGAGCTCGTTTAATAAAATCTTATATCATATGACAACTCATGTGAGATCCTATATATCCGTGGTTCGGGAGTGTTGTTCGGTATATAATAAGGACAACTCATAAACGAAAGGACTCTTTATTTAAAACTGTATGGAATATAGAGGCGAATCCAACAAAACGTCCCAGGGTGTTGACCTGTGCTTTGGTAAAACTACATGTCACATCTGTTTAATTATATCTTAAGCTATTATTTTAGTTAGTAAATCACACAAGGTATATTTAGCACGCATTGTTATGCTCATCAGATGCAATATTTTAAACCAAATTCAGCATAAATTGTATCGTTCTCCACTGATTTGTTGATTTATTCTTGCACATGTCACTTATCAATTAAGTTTGTTTTCGACATCGCTCCAGTCACATACTATATTGAAAATATTTGCATCCACCTCGTCAGATAACCCACGCAGCCCTTCTACATTGTAAGGCGTGTTAGTAAAAGCCTTCACATATACAGTCTTTACACTTTTGTCAAGTTTTAATAGCAAGGCTTCGTCTGCGTAACAATTCACTAAAGCAGCATCTAATAGGTCATCACTTATAAGGGCGTGGTATCTTTCTGGAATGTGGTTCCGAATTCGTTTGTATGGCTTTCTTGAGAACTCTTCGCCATCTACCTCTAGCACCGGGACAAAATGGTCGCTGGTATTCTGAATGTACACTGCTCGACCCCTTAAATTACCACCAATGAGGCCTAACGGTTTGTATTCTAACCAACGCCACTGTTCCTTACTGCCATACTGTGAATAAACATACACAACGCTTCTGGTGAGAGTTGCAAAAGCAAATATCTCCACTTCTGTTCCCCAAGTGTTTTCGGAGGCCATCATTGACGTGTCTAGATATCTGGAAACCGAATCACGTGTAATGCCTTTCATTAGTGTTTCGTTTTCTTTCATGAAGTCAACAATCGCTTGCCTTATCAAGCTATGGTGTGTTTGTACGCCAAAAACTAAATAACTGAATGTTCTAAACAAACAATTGCCATCCCCACGCATGTTTACAGTTTTAGTAGGTTTGGCGTCTCGTCGTATATATTTGTCTGGACCGGATGCATACGTGTTTTTGACTGTCGACTTAAATACACTCGAGATTTGTTCCTGCCATTCTTGATTAGATGGTCTGAATTGAAATGGTTGGGGTTCTTGATTAGTAGATTCTGTAGAATTGGTAGGTTGTGTTGCAACATCTTCTCGCGATACTCTTCTCTTTTTTGGAGGGAGATTGCAGTCGTCAGATTTATCGTTTCTTTTTGCAGGTCTTTCAAACGCTTTCTCGTTTGCTTGGGTTCCTGTTTCTTTGTTTATTAGACTGTGGTCATCTTTTGGACCTTCAGTTGGTCGCTTTTCTGTGTTATCTGTAGCAGCATCGTCATTACTCTGCCTATAGCGATTCAGTCTGTTCCCACTTACACTTGTTTTCATTCCTTCTAGGAAATAAGTGCCTTTTCCAGTTACTTTTGTTATTTTGAATGGTCCTTTCCATTTAAGACCCAATTTCCCTCCTTTTCTCGTCAATTTTCTGGTGTTATGAAGAAGGACTTGGTCGCCGACTTCAAAACCTGCTGTATCGTCTTTAGGTAGTGAAGAATCGTAATATTTCTTCTGCTTCGATTGTGCCGTTTTAATATTGGACGATGCTTCTTTTCTGTTGCACGACAGTTTAATGAACGAGTCTATTCTTTCCTTTAGTGACAATTCAGAGTCTTGGTTATCATCCGATTGCATTGCTAAGTCTAGTTCTATTGGTAAGCGTGCGTGCCTTCCAAACACAAGATAGAATGGTGTTTGTTTCGTCGACTCATGTTTAGACGTTCTATAGGCAAACAGTACGTATGGTAACTTAATGTCCCAATTTTTCTGTGACAAATCTACACTGTGCACAAGCATATCGCACAAAGTCCTGTTAAATCTTTCAGTATGTCCTCCTGTTTGTGGGTGATATGCTGATGCAATTCTATGTTCTATCCCAAACTGCTTGCAAAACTTTTCATTCAAGTCGTTGCAGAATTCTCTCCCCTGATCCGTTATTAATACGCTGGGGCAACCATGTGTCGTGACAAACTTCGTGAATACTGATAGTACAGTTTCAGATGACTTGTCTGGAATCCCTTCTGCCTCTACCCATTTTGTCAAATATTCTGTTATAACGACAATGAACTTGTTTCCTGAAATGTATAAATGTAAAGCATTTTACAATACTTATTTTAATCAACGATGCATTGTCAAAGACAATACTAGTATATCCCCAGCCGATAGATGTTTCTTTTCAAGTTTGAATTTGCATAGAAACTAGAATTTCATTCTGCATGTCTACGGGCCAGCATCGCAGTTTTAAGATGTTGTTGCATAAAAATTCCCTCATGCATATAAGATATCCTCTAGAAAAGCACTTCTAATGACCTCTGTTATCTTTACCTTTAACTGGAGACCTGGTTGATGCGTGCGACACTAGATCTCATGGTAGTTAACATTTGTGTGAAGTTATAGTAAAAAAATCTCTTCATGCAGTTACCAGATATGCCCTGCACAAGCATTTATCAGTGATCTCTAAGAAGACCTTTACCTTTGACCCATAAACCCAGTTCATGCGCGCAGAACTAGAACTCATGGAGGTGATCACTTGTGTGAAGTTTTTACAGAAATTCCTCCATTTTCATTCAAATTGGAGTTATGGTCCGTAAAAATCAGGACGGACACATGCACGCACATATAGCGAACATCAAAAACTGGCGACTAAGGGTCGAGTTCACCGAAGGTGGGCTCGACAAAAATGGAAGGAAAATAAAAAAAATTCCCCCATTCATTTCGCTTGAAAATTGCAAATTGCTAGTCAAATGCTATAACTCTTAAAAAAAATTAATTGAAATCTGGCCAATAGTCTTCAAGAAATAGCCCGGAAACAAAACTTGGAAGGACGGACAGACGGGACAGACGGACGGAGGGCAATTCTATCTCGGTTACACCGGTAGGGGAGTTCCATAAAAAAATTCAATGTACTTTTGGAGATATAGTGGGATCCAGTTAGGTTCAAGATGTGTTGAATGTTTTTTAAAGCAGACAGACAGACGGACGCAAAAACGAAAAAAAAAAATAAAAAGACGTGCATAATCTCCATATTGCCTTTTATCACTATTCCAAGTTTCATGAAAAAATTCTAAGTATTTTGGAGATATCGCGGAATCCAGATTTTCGGACGGACGGACGGACGGACGGACGGACAGACTGACGGAGGGCATTCCTATAGTCCTCTCCGGTTACACCGGTAGGGGACTAATAAGCCTGATCATATTTGACTGACAGGTCATAAACAGCTGGTACATTGACATATCAGCTGGCAACCGTCGACGGCGTTTAAGTTACAGAACTATCAAAATTTAATTTAATAAACTATGGTTTTCCCGTAAAAATACAGAACTATCAAAATTTAACTTAATAAACTATGGTTTTCCCCTAAAAATACGACATATATTTACAGTGCTTAAAAAGAAATGCAGTTGCTTTCGCACATGGCCCTGTTTCACATGGGCGGTCGCTTTGCTTGTAACTAATCGTAAACTGCGTAAAATCTATTTCAGTTTACCACCACTCAACAGGTGCATTACCGATACGTCTCTACCGCTCCAGTAACTAAAAATCTCACAATGTATTACAACGTTTCAAATGAGTACGGTGGTACAGAGGTGAAATACCCAGTAGGTTGTTTTCCACCATCATTTAGCATTAACTTCACCATCAAACCACGTGAAGACTGGACATGGTGAGTTTATCAATATAAGTATATTGTAACTTAGCAAACTGATCCTTATAGAAATATGAGTCGCATCATTACTTTTATGCATAATAGTGACTAAAAATGAGCAGTGCAACCGTTGGTACTATGTGAAGGGCGTTTTCTATGTGTAGGGGAGTTGTAAAATTATGACCCCAGTCACAGTTTATGACCGGGGGCACAATATTATGACTCTGCCTCACACAGAAAATAACCCTGATATAGTGGTTTTGTGTGAGACTCATTTTCCTATGTGTGGAGGAGTCGTAATATTATGACCCCCGGTCACAGTATTATGACCCCCCGGTCATAGTATTATGACCCCCGGTCATAGTATTATGACCCCCAGTCATAGTATTATTACGGGGGTCATAACATTATTATGCCCTGTGGTGCCGCATAGCGGTGTTGCCGCATAAAGGTGGTCGGACTCGTTTATGCGGTGATTTTCAACGCATATAGAGGGTGACCACCTTTATGCGGCGACATGCCACGCATAAAACAACTAGATATGTGTCCATATGACACTGGTGCCCCCCCCCCTACATGATGCTTAGTAACATGTTATATCATTTGACCTTAAGCGCATGTCAAGTTTGTCTTAAAAAGGTTGTTGTGCTCAAGTATGAAGAAAACTAATAAATAAATAGCAAAGTTTTAGTCACTTTTGGGAAATTTCAAACTTTAAAGTCCCATAAGGCTTTTATTTTTATGTTAAAAATGGGTTTAACATTTGTCTAAATAGGGAATGTCAACAATAAAACGTAAAGAAACACTCACTTTTAATTATTCTACATGTAAACATATAGTAAAAAGAATTAAGGGAGGTAATAAAATATTTTGTTTTCCTTATAATGCTTATTGGATATACAAATCTGTTAAAAAGCTTTAAGAAAACAGTTATTTCTTATATAATTTAACTTGAAAAATATATAATTTCTTTAGTATACTTTAGTCACAAAAATAGTGGCAGCCACTCCAAACACAAATGCCTTATGAGGCTTTAAATTTGAAGGTCAAGGTCATTCAGAGGCCAAGGTTATCTTCATATTAATTTTTTGAAGGTCCAGTTCAAAGCTTTGTTGTGTTCAAATATGAAATTAATAAGTATATTAATACCAAAATTATTACTTCACAAATATTTCCTTATATAATGTATAGTGAATAAAACAACAAAGGGCCATAATTCTGCTAAGACTAAACGCAGCAAAAATTCCTGTCTTTACGATCATCAACATATTAAGGTTGATCATCTGTGAAAGTTTGAACAAAATCCCCCAAGCGGTGTAGGAGGAGTTGCGTTCACAATTTTTTTTCCATATATAATGTATAGTGAATAAAACATCAAAAGGCCATAATTTTGCTAAAACCAATCACAGCCAAAATTTTAATTTTCAAATATGAAATTAATAAGTATATTAATACCAAAATTATTACTTCACAAACAACGTTCACAATTTTTTCCCTATATAATGTATAGTGAATAAAACAACATGCCCCCACTTAAGATGGAATGACCTTCGGAACTTAAGACTTTTTCAGAGGAAGAGAGAGTGAGTACATAAAACTAGATCCTGGTCTGGTTGAAACTTCATAGAAGTAACTAGTAATTATCGTTTATGTTTTAATGGGTTTCTTTATGCGGCGAAAGGGGGCCTTTCTGCCGCCTAAACATGCCCTCTTTATGCGTTGAAAATCGCCGCATAAAAAGTTTTGACCATCTTTATGCAGCAACACCGCTATGCGGCACCACAATGCCCCGACATATATTGTCTACGAGTCAAAGTCACCAGGGTCTACCAAAGCAGCCCAACAAACCGACAGACAAAACTTACCCTGATAAGAGGTTTCTAGAGGACCTATAATGTCCATGCCCACTTGCTTGAAAGCCTCGGTGGGAACTTTGATAGGTCGCAGTGGCTTCTTTGCTTTCTTCAGGTTCACCTTTCTTTGACAGTTGTCGCAGTTCTGTATAAACGTGTGTACATCTTCGAAACATCCTTTCCAGTAAAACCTAGTCGAAATCTTTTCCCATCTGAAACAAAGCAAACATAACTATTAGTCCAGATAAGTTACCAAAATACAGTCAACCTTGCCTTAGCGACTCACTGATTTAGACCACTTCCTGCCGTATACGACCCTGTTTACGACCGCCTGACGTAAAAAAAATCTATATAAAGTCACTGACTGAATTAAAAGACTCCCTGTCTGACGCCACAAACGACCGTAATGTTTGCACCCCGTGATAGAAATTTATAAAGGAATGTGAAATCAATCATCCATAAGATTGTGTATTCAGTAACTTATGAAAGAACATGAATTATGCCATTTCCTCGTGCAATTGTGGCATACAATAAGGCCAAATAGATTGAATAAGAAAAATTGGGATATCCCTATGTAATTGTTGAAGAAAAAATCGTTTAAGCATGTTAAATCTTTACCTTAAACAAAGGAAACTACCTGTGGTCTAAGTCAGATAGATCGCTCGTTCCAGTTGGATGTGAGATTTATCAACGAGCTGAAGCGAGTTGATAAATCTCACATCCAACTGGTACTCATGATCTATCCTATACATTTACTATTGGCATGAAAAGCGGACAATATATAGACAAAACACTTTATTTCAGTTTTATCTATTAATGGAATGATCCAAAGACCTGTTCACCTATATTATCAACTTTAAATAAAGTACCGTTATATATTCTTTACCTTTTTCAGTATAATGGTTTTGTCAGCGAAAACCAAAATATTGCGTTCGGACTGTTCTCACAATATATTTACAGTTATTATAATCGAAAATTCATCATAACTGATACAAAGATCTAGAGCTTAATGTTAGTTTGTAAAACGACTCATCTGATACGCCTTATTTATACATACATGACTGTTTTAAAGCATGAAATAACTTTGAGAGTATCCCCTGCCTGTCGGTTGTTCGCTCTCATTGTCCGTGTCCGTCATAATCCGTACAAGTCTAATAACAAGATAGTTGTGTCGTTATAACGAGATACTTAGTCGTTTTTACGAGATATTTATCTCGTTATTACGAGTTCAGTCACGTTTTTACGCTTTTGTTATTCGGCTTTCGTACTAATTTAAATAATCTTAAATGTTATATCTAACACAGGCTCACAGGAATCACAAGTTCCTTTTTGGTCATGATAATGAAATCATTATATCAAACTTACGTTTTTGAAACTCCCAAATGTCCTCCGTGATCTGATGCATGCATGCTCTGAATGATGTCATATGTCTTCCCTTTCTTAACAACTTGCAGACGTTTTGATGAGCTGGTTTTCTTATAATACAACCCGTCATCAAAAATAAAAGGTTTGCACTTTCTACGAAAATTCCTCTGTTTGTTCTTGTCTTTTACAGAAACGGGATACTTCCCATTTTTTACAAACTCTAGAACATCTGTGTAATCTTTCTCGTCCATGCTGCAAGGTTGGACTGACTGCTAACCACAGACCTTTATATATACACGCGTTTACGTAGAACTGCTTTCGGTGTCGCAGTCGTTTCTGATGTTGAACGAGCAGCTTTTCTGAGGTAAATCAAAGGAACTATGTTTAGAAATGATGCAGTCTGCATAAAACATAAAAAAAACACCGCTCAGTGACATCATGGACTTTGATGTAAGTCATGGCACGAACAGTGACTGCTTAAATAGCTCCTCAAAGCCTTGCATTTTTAACACATTCGTTTTAAGCAATGCCTCCACGGTATGAACAAAGGTTATCTAACGTCAGATGAAGTAGAACAATGTTGTCTTTGAAGTTGAATCATATACGTTAAAGCGACTTATGTATATTGTATTACAATGATGATAATTTAAATGAAATTCAAATGGAAGCAATTTTATATTTCATTTCAATAGATGTAGACACAGCAGCTTCTGCAGCAGTAACATGCAGCGGCTCCAGAAGAAAAAAAACAACAACAACAACAACAAATATAAAAGCCATAGAAACACGACAGTAACTTGAATTGATATAGATATGTTAGTAACAGGCTAAGTGGGGTGGGGGGTCAATATTTTACAGATTAAATCGGGGGGTCATTATTTTATAAGGGGAGTCAGTATTTTATAGAAAGGGGTCATCTATTTTATATAAAATAATGACCGGGGGGTCATTATTCTATGGGGGTCACTTTACAACGTTACACACTTTTTGGAACTTACAATCTTGATAAATCTTCATTTGAGCATCATATTTATTATATAAAACCATAAAAAAGTTGAGTAACAGGATCTTTTAAAAATCACGCATTGATTATTGAAATGAATCTATACATTTTAAAATGAAATAAAACAAAGAAATGTAATTAATAACAGTTTTAATTATTATAATTCAATATCCTTATCATAAAGGTAAAATATATTGCATAATAAAAATGGAAACAAAATATAATGAATGATACTATTGCATAGATATCATAATATTTATGATATACATGTAAAGGATAATACAATTGAGCAAGACAAAAAACAATAGCAGATTATCTAGTAATAAAGCGTTTTAAATACCAATACAAAATACAAATTTTTGTAACTTCCCTGCAAACATCTTCATTGATATATGTGCATTTGTATTCTTGTCAAACAGAGATGTGTATTTAATATGCAATATCTTTAAAAGTATCAAATTAATGCGCAATGTAAACCTTTATTTAATGTGTTTTTCTTTTCAGTATGAAAAACACATTATGCCTCAGAAATAAATAATTATTTTTATCATTCTTTAGAACGAGCAAACATGAGTTTTATAATGTTTAAATAATGGTTTTAGACATGTAAGATGCTTCTTACCTGAACTGAACAGCGCTGAATTTGAAATTATTTGTCATAAAAGTAGACAAATGTAAACAAAGTAGTATTTTGATTTCCATACAAAATACTAAAACACTATCACTGACTATTTTCTCAAAAGCAACAAAAGCAAAAGATGATTCAGGTAAACGGCCAATGAATAATGTTTTAAAATTTATAATCAGGACACAAAATATAAAAAGCTTTCGAGAAAATAAAATAAAGGCATTTCTGAGGAATAATGGACCTTTTAAATAAAATGAAATTTTGTTAATTCTTTTAAAGTGACACTGACACTCAATGTCATCTGACAACTTTTCAGGTTTACTTGTAGTGGAAAACTTCAAGTGACTATTTGGAGCATTATTTCAGGTTCCTGGCTTGAGCCATCGACCTTCCAAAAGGTAACTGTAAAGCTTCCTTATCTGTAAGAATCTGAAGTTTCTGACGCGATCCAATCCCGAACATGCGAGGTACAAGTTATTTGAAACAATTGGAATAAAATCAACGGAATCAGGTCTGAAATATGGTCAACATTTTACATGCCCATTTTCAAGACACTACGCGAAAGTTCGCAAAGTGTCGCGTTCTACCCTCATAAGATAGACCGCATAAAATGTTACAATTGATATACTTGATACTTGGATGCAAAGTCTAACAGTGCTTGATCAACAGTTAAAAGTATACACAAATAAGATAAAAGCGAAAATGTCTTTTATTACTAACAAAAAATGCACCAAACAAGGCCAACGGAATATTGCACAGTGATATGATGACATCATGTGATTATTTCAATGTAGCACTAATTCTTGATAATATTTAAACCAAACCATTCAAGCGTACAAAAGATATAACGTAACGCCTTCCATTTTTTATATACATGTACACATTTATATCTTGATACCAAATAAAATGCACACTTCTTTAACACTTTTTACATGTACAATGCTAAACAGAAAAAGAAAAAAAAACACATCTTAAGTAAGATAACAGTGCCCTTGTGATTTACATGTACACAATTATTACTTAATACACCATTAAATACATACTTCTTATGGCACTTTTAGATGATTATTGATCAATCAAGTATCTTTATTAAAAAAGCATTTTAGGTAAGCTATCATTGCCCTAGTGTTTTAACCATTTCTGTTTTCTTCAAAATTTCTCTTTCTCATTGGCCACTGGCATTTCGTTGTCTATGATCCCGCCCTCACTGTCCGTGTATGAGTCTCTTTTCTTGACATTGTTACCGTTACCCTTGGACACTGTAGCGCTCATTAACCGCTTCTCAAGTTCATCTCTGGTTTTCCGTTTGAAGAAACCGCACTGTAAAAATTCATTTAAATATAATTCTTAGGAGATATATAGAAACCAGCATTGTTTTTGGAACCTTTTATGCAAGTTAGATTCAGTGTTTATTTAAGCTCTATTGCGAAACAAGTACTTGCAACTTATATAAATCACTTTCGAGTCCGCTTCCTTAAACCAACCAGTAATGGTGTCATATAAAGAAACATGGTCTTGGCACCAAGTAATGCTCGAGCCCATGATACCTGGATTTAATGGCAGACACCTTAACCACTAGGCCACCACTCCCCTTAATTAGTTATACATTATCATTAACTTTGTCTACGCTTTCAGTTATGTACACATCACCCATAACATTACAATTATAAAGATAAAGGTCCACCATGCCTCAGTAATATGTCATTTTTATTTTCCAAAATTAAGAATCATTTGCCATATTTGTGAACTATCTTTTGCTCCTGTTGGACTGTTGGTAATTGCTATAAATATAATGTATAAGTATTTTGTATGGGAGTCAAAATACTACTTTGCTTACATTTCGGTACCTTAACGACACATCCCTGCATGTTCTGCGCTACTTTATTCAGTTCTTAAGCACACGCCCTTAATCCATAATTAAAACATTATTAACATAAGTTTGACATTTCAAAAGAGTTTAAAAAAATGTATTTCTGAAGGATAACGTGCCTGTATTTATCTCATTCACCAATTCCATATATATAAAGCATAAATGTATTACCTTCCATAACAAAAGGATAATCAGTGCTATCAGCAGAATACCACCCAGCACACTGACCAAGATTATCCACCACGGAAGTTCTTTTCGCACGGCTGTTCTTTTACTTATAGTAGTTATCAGCTAGAAATATATCACATTTAGTCATAAATTAATCACAACAATCGCAACAGATTTTCATACATGTCATTAAGAATAATTTGATTAAAAATTATTAAAATCAGCCCGCTCATGAAAAAGTAATGATAATGCCAACAATCCGGGGTTTTTATACCTGTATGTTATATCTTTAAATAACTCTTCGAAAAACAAGGCTTGAACTTATCTAGACTATAATTTAAAGAAAAAATGTGCAGAAAGTGTGACAGTGATAATAAATCATTAAATCGATTAGGTTTGTGTTTCTTATTGAATAAAACGTTACGCGTAGATTATGAAAGCAGAGTTCTACAATGAAGGATGGATTTCAATGAAAGCATCGCTTAACACAACGCAGCAACATCTGCAGGAAGCCCAGCGGGACACCAAACAAAAACTGGAGAGGGCACAAGAGCAAAAAGGAACGGAGCGTTATTATAAATAATTCTTAATAATAAATCATATTTACCGACAAGGATATTAATAAAGAAGACAATTAATTAAAGGTCAACAAAAGAACAAGTTAGAAGGGCAAGTGGCATGGGGACCGAAAAGACATATCTGAATTTAACATCTGTTATAAAGTACAGACATTTGGTTTTGAAGTTTAATTTTGTTTGATACAATATTACTCAATTCCAGCATGAGCATCAACATTTCAAGTTTTATATGGAACTAATGCTGATTAGTATCGCGAACTTTGACAGATTAAAAGCTTAGATTTTGATTGAATTTTAACATTAATCAGCATAAAACTGACAGAATATGACACAGGGCATGTATCTGGCGCACAAGCGATTAGGCTAGGCTGTGGAAAGCTCTAGGCAATCTGGTTGAAGTGTGATAAAGATAAGAAAAAAGATTTTAAAAAAAAAACCATAAAAAAAACCCTTAAATGATACTAATCGTTGTAACTGTATACATGAAAGATCGGATTTTAAGCTTATTGGCAGCTCCAAACGCTAGTACATAGTATAGAAAATTAGAAAATAATACCTGCTGTGAAAATTCTGTCTGGTTGCTGATCAGGTTTGTCTTGTTTATCCATACAAATGCCGTTGACAGCAGTTTTATTGATTTCCCGTCCTGAAAGAAACAGAATTGATATTAACATCCATTAAAATTAATATCCATTAAAAAAATCCTTCCATTGTCCTTTACACATGTACGAGATATGTTCAAAAAGTACGTATTTTATTGATTTTCACTGTATATTTATTATGGATATACTCCAATATTTATCCCTTGTAAAACCGAGTACGCAAATTTAAAACAAAATGTGAACAGTAAAGGCGAAGTCTTTTTTGTGGTATAACAAAAATATTTTTGTATTCAAGTTATATATACCCACCCGTAAACGTGTGGTATCACAAAAATATTATGGTATTCAAGTTAAATATAACAATCTGTAAAATTGTGGTACAACAAAATTATTTTGGTTGTAATCAAGACATATAATATTGTCACATTTTAAATCCCAATGGCGGAATATGACAAGAAGCAGAATATCAATGCCAGCATATGACAAGTAGCTGATGATAACATTTAAAATCTGAATGTCAGCAAGTAACAAGAAGATGTTTATATATAACATTCAAAATCTTGACACAAGCAGAATAAAACCACAAGTTAAAAATTGCATTTAAAATCTATTGTCATTCAAAACCTTAATACAAAAAAAACCACGAGCTGATATTAACAATTAAAACCTCAATTTACCCACATGGTAAGTTGTAATATTTAAAACTTTAATGCCAACAAATGACAAATCGCTGTTTATAACATTTAAAATCTGAATGGGAGTAAATGTCACGAAGCTGATAACACTATTACGAGCCTTAATATCGTGATACAGGATGAATACAATGAGTTGAAAATAGAAATTCCAATAACAAGACAATGCAAACAACATGTTATACATCTAAAATCTCAACATCGGAAAAACACAATTAACTAATGATAACATTAGCAATTAAAACTTCAACTCAGCACATGATAATTAGATGATAATAATTAACTTCAATATCAGAAAATTACAAATAACTGATAATAGCATTTAAATGTTTAGTATCAGCCAATAATCAGCTAATAATTATTAGCTAATAATAACATTTGAAACTTCAATTTCAACAAATGACTAGCAGTTGATGATAACATTTAAATTTTTAGTGCAAACAAAAACTTCAATATCAGAAAATTACAAATAACTGATAATAGCATTTAAATTTTTAGTGCAAACAAATTATAAGTAGCTGATGATAAGAGTTAAACTATAAATAGTAGCTATTGATAATATTTGAAACCTCAAAGCGAGCAAATAGCAAAAACTGGTAACAAGCAGCTGTTTATTATATCATTTAAATTCCCATTATCAGCAAATGATAGTCAGACGATAATAACATTAAAAACTCTTCAATATCAGCAACTGACAAGTAGTTAACTTAACAAATAATAACATTCATTACCTTCATAAAACTTTCAATATCCTTATCAACGACATGGTGCATATATATAACTGCACTGGTCTTCGGTTGTATTCCAGTTACCATACAGTTAAATATGGAACACTTCTCTTGTTTGCAGTCCTAAAATAGAATTCATAGGAACGAAAATGATAATTAATAAACAGATAAACAATTGGAATGGAAATGATAATAAATTTACAGATGAAAGCATTTTTTTTTCGGGCGACATAACTTGAAATGATATTTATTAAAGCCTTATAAGTATGAGAATAGAAAGAGAATATTGTCAATAAAATTTGCATTCACGACATCTAATTTTGAAGCTCAGTGCTTTATTTATTACGCTTGCAAACTTTCGTCAGCTTTACAAAGTAGTATTGAAGGTAATTATGTCCAAGTGACGCATTTCAGTAGAAATGGTTCTGATGCTTGTAAACGAAGGTTCTTATTTCAATCGAAAGCATCATTCAGAGTCTCAAAAAAGCGTAAATGCATAAATGTTCAAGTTAATAATTCAAATTCACCATTCCATCGGTTATTTCTCAAAATAAACTATTCTTAACAAATGGTTAATTATTTTGATTTCATCAAATTGTGTATGAAGTTGTTTTATTCTGATAAAATGTTTTGTAATTGTCTTTTTGCCCTACGCAGAATGCGCATGCGCGGAATGCTACTTCCGTTTTTATGGAAATAACGTACTGTAAAAAAGGTCTATATTGAACAGAGCACATGATATATTTGTATTTTGTTCTTCATGAATAACTTCAGAAACATGCTCTTATTTACATATCACCGCAAACGGATGGCTTATTGGCGATTGTAGAAAAGTATAGCATTATTTACCATCTTCTCGAGTTCTGTTAAAGGCTGTGTTGGTTTTGGTGTACGTGAAACAAGGCGACCCTTCACGTAGGAATAAATTTCTGGCGTTATATTGTCATCTGTTAAGGAGCACGTGACTTCACAAGTTGTGCCGCATTTAACCTAGTTAAAAACATTAACAACAGAATTTGAATTATATTTTATACATTTTAACGAGGAATGGAAATGTTAAGATGTAACAGGTATTTTATCCCAGAATGTAAAATGTTCACAAGATATTTGTATTTTTCCATGTAAAATCCAGATTTAGGATATGTTGATCAAATTTACTTTAACAATGAGATGTTTTATAAATTCCATTTTTTGTTATTGGTTTTGACCATATTCTGAATCCATGAGGCATTTAACATGTACTGAATTTTACACCGATTATCATTCTTCTAAGAAGATATTTTAAATGATACAGTTCAAAGGCACGTTATGTCTCAGAAACGGTTAAATTTTTACTTCTTTAAAAACGGCAAACATGGGTTTTATAGTTTAAGAGCAGGTCAGATGCTTGATACTAGGGAAAAGTCGCTTGAAATTTGTAACAATTTGTCATTAAAGTAGCAAAGTGTAAAGTAGTATTTTGACTTCCATACATAATACCAAATCGCTATAATTGTACTAATTGTCAAAAAACAAACAAAAAACAGAAGAGTAACTTTCTGGAAACTTTAAGAATACACCAAAATAAAAGTTTTTGAGAAATAAAGATAACATTATTTATGGGCCTTTCAAATACAAAATGTATACATTTATTTATAAACTTGAGTAAACTTAAAGTGTATTTCACCTCAAACAGTGAGATTATCTTTAATCATTAATAAATCATTCATTTCAATATTAATGTTGACAATATTCTGAAACTAAAAGGCATTTAACAAGAACTCAATTAAACTCGGTTATCGTTTGTTTTTTATCGTCGTCGTCATCATCGTCATCATTGTCTTCGTCTCCATTACTACTAAGGTCATTGTCAGCAGAACCGTTTCTATCACTGCCAATACATCGCTTTTGAATTGTTCAAAATTGACAACACATCAAAATATTTAAGAATGAAAATATGTTCTGTGTTGCTCAGAACTGCATTACTGGTACTGGTACTGCAGTACGTACTGCAGCGATTTTGCAAGTTCTGGTACTGATACTGAATTACTCTTACAAAATTTTGCTACTACTGGTACTGGTACTGCATTACTGTCTTAAAAAGTGATAATGCTACTGCATTACCCAGTACTTTTGGTTTTGATAAAAATTAAAAAAAGCATCAATTTTTCTCATAAAATAAAGCTGTAAATTACACGAACTATATTTTATTTTTGTGAAAAAGTAAGTGATAATTTGCTGCAATATTCTTTCAAATGTTAACATAGTATTCATCATAAAAATCACCAAAGACTTTAAGTAAAAACTAAATAAAGATAAACAGACTCGATAACTATTTACTCTAAAATATCCTTATTAAAATCTTTTATTACTTTGTATTTACTAGTAAAAGAGCAAAATAAACACTAATTAATTTCTACTATTCTAAATAAACCCATTTCAAGTGAAAAAAGTGATATTTTTAGCACCATAAAAAGTTGTTATTTACTTTGGTATAAATTGCACAGAGGTGTGAAGGTGTGAAAGGCAACAAAAGACTGTTGTGTTTTAAATGAAAGATGTTTGCATTGTAATTTATACAGTTGACTGGTTACTAAACAATTAAATATGACATGAATATATGTTGTAAATATTGTTTGTAAAAAGTATGTTAAAACTATAAAGTTGTAAACATGTTATGTTAACTTTAAAGTAAATTATGATTTTATTTCTTTGCTGAATAATATTTGCAATTATTTGTTTGACACTGTATTTATTCAAACTTTGATGAATATATAAAAGTAATGGTACTGATACTTAATTACTTCACCAAAAAAAGTACTGGTACTGCAGTAGCGAGCTAAAATCTAGTACTGGCACTGGTAATGGTACTGCATAATTTGCCAAGTACCGGTACTTAAGTACTACACCCTTAGTACTGATGCAGCTCTGGTGTTGCTATACCTGTGTTTTGTTAAGATATAAGATTGCTTTCTCAGGATTCTGAATTTGTGGGAATGATATAGATATCCTAGCTGACTGTAGACTACTCGGTCCCTTATTATACAGCTCATATATATTTTGCATATTAGGCAACGTTTTACTCTTTCCTATGTATATCGTTTCTTGTGCTGATATTCTGAAAGTAAAATAACTACATTGACAAAAGTGTATGAAAAACATACATACATTGCTACTGTTTCTACATACTTTTGAAAAGATCTATACATAGAAATGTCTTAAGTTAAATTTCAGATATAGATACTAGTAACAATATTGCAAACTGTGATAAAGTATAAATTTCAATAACACTACTTTTACTTTAATGATTTAAAGACAAATAAGGACAGTAACATTACCATCCAAAATACATTGCAGGAGTTACATTACATAGTTACATTAGGCTCAATAAGAATAGTTTTTAGTTCTTAATTTTTTGTAGTTTTTCTAGTATGAAATTCTTTTATTAAATCAAAATAATCAACAGAGTATAGGTAATAACTTTCAATAACATCTGTAATATCTCACGCCCGTTGTTTCCTTGATCAAGAAACTAAACACTCATTGCTTAGTACTGAAAGGTTCCAGGAACGGATGCGAGAGTGCTTCAATAAGCTTATAGCTTTCAACGCAATCGAACTAAAATAAATCAGTATTATCAGTATAACTAATATCATCTTACGCTGTTAAAGCTGCTTCCAGATTATGCCTGAGATTGATAGTAATTGTTTGATTGTTGTTGCTAGGGTCTGTTTCCTCACTTAGAGTAGACACATGCATATTCAGCATCATTGACTTATCATCATTAGCAACTGTTACGGGAACGATCATGAACAACCTGAATTGAACTTCGGTATCATTTGACATCGGATTTCCAAACAAACATGATACAGCCGCTTCGTCCTTGGCTAGAGTTACACTTGTGTCATTAGCTCGGCTGTCAACTATTGAGCAAGATATATCGGTCTCTCCACGCAGTTTTTCTACATTCTTATAACCAACGTATCTTGGATATACCATATAAAACACAGACCCGTATGATGCGTCACCTTCTTTTGAGATATTAACATCGACAACGAGGTCTTGATTGCCGATGACAAAAGTAACCATCAACATTTATATATTTGGCGTTGGCTCCAAGTCTTAGATTTGTTTTACAATAGTTGTTAGGACATTCGTTCTTGAACTGAAGCTGTTGGTAAACAAAAGAAATAATGTGTTATGTAAAAGTAAGCATTTCAAAGTAACTGCCTCTATTCAATATTTATAGAAAGGAATAAATATTTGGCTATGTTCTGTACAATAGTATCCTTTCAAATAAGATTATGCCGGTTTTTTCTTTTAATTTGGTTAATTGGTTTAATTCATAAATAATATTTATAAAATTAAAAATTAAATATTCAGTGAAATTGTGTAAGTATAAATTGAAACATAATTCCTAGCTCAGTTAAAAAGGAAATGTTTCTACAAATGACGAAAAAATGTATACATGTAAAACAATAATATTGTATTTTCTTACAATGGAGAAAAGTCTGAATCAGTTACAATACTTTCCTATTACATAATTAACAGTTTTCAAGCGACAGTAAATAAAGAATGTCGTACAGACTGTATAAGTTAAAAGTTTTTGATACCTAGTAAATAAACCATTAAATGAGTGGTTTATAGATAAATTTCGAAATAAAGAAAACAATAAACACTTGTTATAAAAAATATGGCTGGTATTTTCTTTATCAATCTTTATCAATCGAAATTGATCTTCTCCAAACATTTGATGATTGTTGATATTGTCAACATGTATATATTTTGATGTCATACACTGTTCGTTATTATGTATGTTTGTGTCCTCATAGGCTTTAAAGCATATTTGAATTAGTTGCATGTTTTTGTCCTCATGGGCTTTAAAACCTATTGGAAGTATTTTGCATGTTTGTGTCCTAATGGGCTTTAAAGCCTATTGGAATTATTTTGCATGTTTGTCCTTATGGGCTTTAAAGCCTATTGCAATTATTTTGCATGTTTGTCCTTATGGGCTTCAAAGCCTATTTGAATAATTTTGCATGTTTTTCTAGTTAGTTAAGAGATTAACTAGTTAGTGAACTAGTTAACCTCTTTATATTAAGCTAGTAAAATAATAAAAAGGATGGCAGTTGTAGTCACTAACATGCATTTATTTCCCGTTATAATCTTTTATTTATTGAAAAAAATAACTAGTGACATTACTAGTTAACAACATAACTAACTAGTTACATAACTAGTTAACACCTTAATTAACTTGTTAGTTATATGGTTATCTGGTGGCAGAAATATGCCATCATAATATATAATTGTACATTGAAATAAAATATTATTTAGACTTAATTAAAACTGGACGGTTCGAAGTTTTTTAAACAAGACAACGTACCTCTTTCTTCAGTTGTAATAAAGGATCACCAGGGTGAGCTCCATCAAAATGACTGATTGCTGCTTTGACGGTGAGACCAGGACATAGAATCTCATCTACTGAATAATCGGTCTGAAGTTCTAAAGGACTGACAAGATCATGCGTGGACTGTAGGAGAAAATATAGAACATGAACAATCAATATCTTACTTTATTACAGCTGCATTAAATAAATTTATGAATCCACCTTCATAAGCTCAGATGGTTAAAAAAATAATAACACAAATTATAGTTGAATTGGAAGCTGTCATTTAATTATCAAATTATGGATAAAGTGAAAATACAATATTGCAGAAAAACAAATACAATGACTAGAAAGTTGTCATTTTTAAATATGTATAAAAAAATTAACGTCGGCATAAAAACCAAGCATTTTAAAGTTTCATTAACCATTTTAACAGTATTGCGTTTAGAACACATATGGTATTATAAGATACATAAATCCATTACCTGATAATTATTCATAAACAAAGAATAATTTCATAGATAAGTATTTGTTGATATTTGTAAAATTTAAATCGTTAAATGCATTTTATTGTGCAATATAAAAACAATGATGTGACTTATATCTTACTTTTTTACAGTCTGACCTTACAAAAGAATTTCAATACTCCTATTTAAGTAATGTAATGTACAACTGTAAATACATTGTTACATATCATTCAACATTGTTTCCATTTAATTTTTAGCATATACCCTTTCGCACAAACTTAATAGTTTATATCTTTGCCAAACTTGACAATGTGTTTTGGCCTAAGTGATATAAATGTTAATTATTCAAGTATAACCAACGTTTATTCCAAACAATTGAGAATAAAATCTTACTTTTGTTTTTATAACAGCGGGCGGTGTACACTTGTAAGCATCATTTAATATTTTTAAACTGTGAGACAAGGTTGGTTGGTTATTTGTCTCAAATACAATCCTTGCTTGATCCCCGTTTTTTTATATCCAAGGTTATTGTCAAGTTTAACACTGAAAAAACGAAGAGAAAACATTGTTAAGGAGTACGATACTAAATCTTATAATAAATACACTAAACTAGTATTAACTAGTAATTATTAAGGTATTACCATCCTAATGCCTTACCTCCGCTTTGAAGAGTATTCAAATAGGCTAGAACTACTGTTAACTACATTGAAACTGAGGGCCATGGGTTCAAACCTCAGATGGGTCAACATTTTTTTCTTTTCTTTTTTTTCTTTTTACATTATTTATGTATCTCTCCATCCATTTTGGGTAGAAAAAAGTGTTTATTTTTTATTATTAAATTTATATAGGTATTTATTGGCTAAATAATGCTAAATCTAGTAATAAATATGGATATACCTGATATTTTCAAAGTGTAATAAAATCAAAACTAGAGGTGAAAGTATTTAATATTTTACAAGATCAACCAATTTACTTTTTTAAAAATGTAGGGAAACTTTGAAAACAGGCACTCATTTGGGTAAAGTTTAAGGATTTTTTAAATAAGGCTCCCTAAGTAGGAAAATGGTCAAACACGTGTTAAAAAAGGGTGGGGTAGGGTAACATTTTTATACATATTTTATAAACTTGAGTAGAAACCATAATTTTGTTTATGTTGATTGTTAGCTGAATAGTACTATTTGTTTCTTACCAAAAATTAATGGGAAAACGTTTTTCATTAGAATGTTATTGCAGAGTATTTAAAGGTTACTCGTTTTTGAAAAAGGGACCTCATACACCCTAGCTTCAGTTCTTAAAAGTGGCCATAACTCGATTTCCGTACGGTAAAGTTTGTTTTAAATTTTGCATACAGATGTACTTTAAGGTATATATCTGATCTATGATATAAATTATTCAGTTCCTTTAGTGCCCATTAGAGTGGTAATACCTTAACTGTTAAATAAATATTACCGTTTATGGTTGACTGTAAAATGTACGGTTTCAAGTTTTACACTATTTCAGTACAATATACTTGTGCAGAAATCAATAGAATTTAACCCTCACTGCGACTCATTTTAAAGCATGCAAATAAAGATATATAGTCACAGTGATAAAAAAAGATAGTATAGAGGGATTTCAAGATAACAAAATGCAAATAGGTTATTAATAAAAAATGAAGTTTTGTGGATTAATTCGAATGCCGTTGAGATGTTTGTTATTTTTCTTACAGTCTTCCATCTTATACCACTAAGCATCTGAACACCATGACGTGTAATATCATACTCCTAAATACTGATAATTTTCTCCTACATTTACTGATTACTTAATCTTTAAAATACTCACTAAGATAACTGCATCGCCGATCAGAGTAATGGAAACAAACCAAGACGGATTCCCTCCTGTCACCGTTTACTTCGACAACATTTGTTAGAGAGCCTCTGCTGTCAACAACGCTGAAGTCACTATGTGCATGTATCACTGATTTTCCGTACAAAACGACAGCTTGGTCTGACAAGTAGGAGCCTATTACTATATCTACAAATATTTAGAAAATATATATTATTTTATCATACCAGTACATTAATTTCTGTTGATAAAGAGCATGTTGCATGCTTAGTAGTGATAAACTTTGAATCGAATAGATTCTTTAAATATTGAAGTCTCTCTTACATTTGACTTAAACATGTGGGACTATTTCTTATAGATATGACCATTGGTTAGCATTAAACCGAGATGTTCTTGAAAGGGTTCTATATCATTTGAAATTTTAAAGACAGAAACGCATATTTAAATTGAAAACACGATAAATAGCAAGACTACAAAACAAGTGTCTGATATTATAAATTTTACCAGGCTCGGCACGAAAAACAAATGAAGGCTCGGCAAAGCCTCCTTCTTCTGTTTTTCTTTGCCTTGTCTGATAAATTTTTGTATTATCAAACACTAGCATGGTATTGTCTATAACTATAACAATGCTAGTTTTTCTGCAAATGCAATCAGCTATAATAGATAGAACATACCATGCGAGTGTCTGATATTACAAAACTTTTCAGGCAAAGCTAAGGCATTTTTTTTTCGTGCCGAGCCAGAAAAGAATTACAATATCAGACACTTGTTTGGTATACTATTTATCATGTTTTCAATATGAATGTGCTTTTCTTTCTTTAAACTTCAAATGAAACAAAACCTGTAAAGAACCTCTCGAGTTCATGTAATGTTTAGTAATATGTCAAGGGTCATATCTATATGAAATACTCCCAAATGATTTTGTATCTTGTTACGGCCGCTACTGCCTATCTGCACCTTCAACTGTAAACTACAGCGGGAAGACATTTTGTGTGACTGAGAAATAAGTTTATTAATTAAATATTTGATATATCTCACAATTTATGTCTTCATTTAATTCATAATATGTCTCACCATTTATTTCATCAAAATTCATGTCTCTTCCTTGTGAAATTGAAATTCCAAACCCTCTCAGCCCCGTATCAATTTCAGAAGCCATTATTCGCTGAGAATATTTAGGCCATACGCCACCAGTGTATCCATTGTAGATGTATATTGCACCTCTTAAGCCGTCTGCATATGGAGCTCCTATTGCAACATCTGTTCAAACAAATAAATATTCAAAGAAATTCGATGTTAAAAACTGACAATTAACAGTGCCATGCGTGTAGTGTACTTAACTGAAGACGTTTGTGTAAACATGTACTGATGTGAAAAAAGCTTTTCTGGGAAGGGACTTAATCTAATGTTGCTAGAACTTGTTGCCATTTGCTTTCTGTTATATACATATCATATGTACAATATCTGACATATATTTGGTGAAATAAATAAGCTCATAAAGTCTGCTGCCTGTATAAATGTATGAGTTTGGATTTATTTTGTAGTGAAAATGAACTTAAATCTAGTTTAAGGCACGGGTCTCTTCTACATGTACATTGATTTTTGGAAGAAATTATTTTTTTCTTTCTATATAGTCATTGCTGTTTTTGTGTGAGTTTTTTGTTTGTTTGTTTTTGTTTTGTGTTATTTTTCGAATGAACTTTATGAAATGTTTTTATTAAAAAGACGAGGTAAAGCAAATAAGTGAAATAACTTATCCACCATAGTTGACGGAATGATCACATTTGATATTTATTAACCACTAAAAATGTTCTAAGAAAAAAAATACAAATCAAAACTTATATTCAACTAAATACCTAGCTAACATATAACATTTAACTGTGTGGCATAATTTCAATGTATAAACAGTATCGTACTTAAGGTAAAGCTGCAATAAACAGTCATGTTCAACTACAATTCAAGAGACACCCACTGTATAATTGAATGTCTATTGAAGGGGACGCTGGACCCTAGAACATAACTTTCTTATCTAACACATCAAATTGCTCAACATTAATTGATACATCTATTTTAAACGAATATTGTAAACATGATTGCAAACATATAAAGTAAACAACATTGCATAAAATTTTCAACCGCAAAAATAACATTACTTTCATGAGTATTTACAAATATGACAAAGAAACAAACCTTTGAAGGAATCTGAATTTATGTCTCCAAGGTCAGCAATGGCACTTCCGAACCTCTCATGAACCTCTGTTCCTGTCAACATCTGCGGCGATGCTTTGAAGTCCATAATCTAAACCAAAATATAGTTTGGAAAGTTTACTTTCTAAAACATTTTTTTCTCTCTGTAAATGTCATTAACTATAACAAAGTCATGCTTTGGCAGTTTTGTTTGTTTCTTAATAAATGTATTTTAAAATATTTATATGGGAGCATATTAGAAATATCTACTACAAGTTTTTATGGGAAACATAAGGTTGCGAGCAGTCACGTGGCCCTTAACCTGAAAATATAAGATTATAGGAAATTTTATGGCGGACTGTTTTACGGTCGACTATATGTTACATTTTTAGAACGTTCCATAACGCAAGAGATACCGGCTAAAATGTATATGTAACCAATATACAAATATAATCAATACAAAAAGGAAGGGAACTATATTTCTCAATACCATCATTGATCCCAGATAGACTGATACAAGTCCGATTTCCAAGTTCTCCGTTGAGAAAACATTGTTTTCAAAGGTACTGTACATTGGGGCTGCAACAAGCAAATCGTCCATGCCATCACCGTTGACATCCATTGTACACAAGGTCGCTCCAAAATAGGAATTCGCTGGTAAAATCTAAGTTAAAAATAGTTCGTTAGTTCATACATTAATAATCAAAGCATTATTTTAATTATTATACCCTACAGTAGATTTTCTTCATATGTTTGTTCCATTATAACGGGAAACTGATCTTGTATTTTTTATTCAAGATCGATTTAGGATTAATTTCTAATCATTGTAAGGAAAGAAGAGTGCCAATTTGGATCAATTATCACTATTTAAAAATAAGCTTTTTATTCCATGTTATTTAGAATTAGTTAAAATAAAATATTTTATATGAACAGTATTAGATATGGATGATATATTACTTATGGTATATGTTGTTTTATTCTAAACACAAAAGAAAATTGGATAAAAGATGGAGTATGTGGATGGTCTGAAGCTTTGCACATAAGTTTTTGGTATAGGCAACAAATGGTCGTCATGTAAAAAAAACCTTGGCGGTGTCCCTTTAACATAATAATTATGTTATAATTTGTCATTAACTTTCTATGATGTGTTTTATATTTTTTCTTGGGCTGGAGGCCAAAAATCAAATGAACTTTGTCATAGTTATTACCTTTCCGTTAACGCTGCCTTGTAATATCTTTGAAGCGCTTTGCAACGAATGTTGTGCTTCGTTTGATCTGAAGAACAATACCTGGAAACAGATTGATCAGAATAGATTTAATTTTAGTCATTTATAATGTCAACAATTCAAATCCGTCTAAAATCCTTTAATAATTTTAAGACTTTCCGTCAAAAATTGATCTATTTTGGTCTTTTAACAACCCGCAATTGTTTTGCCAAAAAAATATAGAAAAAATCAAAAGAGACCTCGTTCTGAAAATTATGAAGAACTAGATTTGTCTCGCATTGTCTAGATTTTATTTTTATCTTAATTTTATTAAATACAATTTATAAGAACAAGTGTAAAATGGAAAAAGATCACTTCTTGACGCAAAGCAGAGAATATTTATGATTGAATTGTAACATAGTTTGGGGAACTTTCTGTTGAAAATGTGTCAGAGTTGAATCGAATACATATACATGCACAGTACATTAACTGAAGTGCAGGTATTAGTTACCCGTACTCCAGAGCATGCCCATTGATTGGCTCAATTTCTTCTGGGATTAACTTATTATGACGGCAGAGTAATGGAAAGCGATATAAATATCATATTCAGATGCTCGTTCATTGGCTATCTTTTCCTGGAGTTTCATATTGTGGCAACAGGGAACATGTTTTATGTTTGACTATAATACAACAGAGGAAGAACATCAAAACACTCAGCAATTTGATTAATACTCGGTGGCTACGCCTAGTGTTTCGATGCTCTTTCTATTATGTGATTAGGGTTTGATACTTACAATGCCGGACATGCTTGCTCTAGGTGCTCCAAATGCAAAGTAGGTCAGTCCATCGGAAAAATACCTTCCACTTGAAGACGAATAACCTTATTTGTATAGAGGATATTTGTTTGTTTTGCATGTAAGATTGAAATATAATTTCACTGAGTGAACACCAGATGCAATATTTTCACGAGTGGCGTAGCCACGAGTGAAAATATAATAGCTGGTGTTCACGAATGAAATATATTTCAATCTTATATGTAAAACAAATAAATTTTCTTTTTATTTCATGCTTTTTAAGGGATTTTAAGTATATTTTTACTGATTTTGCCGCGTAACGTCACACATTCTCCTATGTGACGTCATCATATCATGACGTCACATCATCAATTTTGAAATAAAGTTCTGTTAATTTTCTCTAATTTTGTTACATTTTTACATGATGTATGATGAAATCGACTTTCTTTTCCTAAAGAAGCAAAATTTTTTTTGACAGCAATTATTTCTGCTTGTTATTTCATTTAGTTATGATTTTCTTTTCATCCGCATTCAGATATAGTCCGGCTACAGTGAAAATTATATTTTATAAATTTCACTAGTGGTTTATCAGAATATAATCATCTGATATATTACTATAAAACACTCGAAAGCATGAAATAAAAGAATATAATTTAAAATGTAAAATGTCATTTGCAATTTTACAAGAAACTGAAACTATAAAACAAGCACAATATTTCTTAGCTATAAAAGTATCCTTTATATTCGCAATGAATTTTTGTTTTATATACGTAAGATTGCCAAACAAAATCGTAAATATCAATTGCAAAGAAATGTTTCAAGTTTTTAAAAACGGATTTAGCTGGTGACATAAGTGATATTCAAAATAAACGATAACAATTGGTGGGTTGGCTTAAATAATGTTGCAAGTCCTTCTTTATTTCATAAGAGTTACTGCAGTATTGCGGTCAACCCTTTGAACGGTGTTATGCGTGTACATTTTAATGCATCTTCATACTGGTATTAATTGGTGACAAGACAAAAAGATAGGTTTCCAAATAAATCGCATTGGCATCAACCTATCAGCCCCTCTAAACCGCGTATGTTTTATCATCGAAATAATTAAAAAAGCACTGATAAAGATGATGTAATGAATGCTAAAATACTTTTATTAAATTATGATGTAAAATAATATGACCATATTAATTCAAATCAAAAGAATTAACTTGGAAATGAAATACATATACAATAAGGAAATTCCTTGACATTTAAATATTTAAATTAGTAAAGCTGGTGATTCGTTTCCGCAGCTTCTATTTTTAGAAACTAAGGTCACTTATGCGTTATAAATAGCTTCCGGGACGCTGTATTAAAAAAAGGCTTAACAGTGACACGAGGCACTTTTTTCCAAGATAAAATTATAAAAAGACTAGACTTAGTTTGAAACAACTCAAAATTGTTTATCCAACAGAAAATAAAGCTGGAGGCCGCTTTAAAAACCGTAGTGACAGCGTTTATTTTCGAAACCAAATGAAAAATCCATTTCTAGAAAACGCCTTATGTCCCTCGCTCAACATATTGCATTATAAATGAAATTCATCCCTTATGACTTGCAAACTACAAATTGTACTTAAAAAACTAGCTTATACCAATGTATGGTCGGATGATGTTTGTCGAGTTTACAAAATTTTGCATCACTTTTGCACTGTCTCCTTCCAGGGCAACAAAACCCCCTAACCAGTCCATGATTCCAGGAGCCCCTAGCAACAAATGATTCGTGTGCTACAAAATAAAAAAAAATATAGCATAAAATACGATCAATAAAACATATCAATAAAAAATTATGTTTGTCAGGCTTGATATTGTCAAATTCATTTCATACCAATTATGATAAATATTGATACTTTTTTCATAGTAAATATTAATATTAATAAAATGTCTACTTATTGTTGGGCAAATAAAATTATATAAATTCAAACTGAGTAAAACTATGTTGTGTTGTTGTTGTGTGTGTGTGTGCGTGTGTGCGTGTGTGCGTGTGTGTGGGTTTGTAAGCGCCTCCTACTGAAGGAATTTTCCAATAATAACAGCAACAAGTGAGGACATTTCAAAAAACTGAGGACGGTCTCATTTGACAAAAATATAAATCACTCTAAAACGTCGTATTTTGAGCTGAAATGGCTAAAAAATCGATTCAAAAGCCTAGTCTCAATCGACGGTCACTTTGTCCGAGTGTGTCGGATGAGTGTGTGATTATCGGATTTTCATCGAAATTTACCCACGCACCCGATGGTCTCAGTTGCCGTTGGAAAGTCATGTTTTCACACCAGTGCGTGTAAAATTACATTAAATGTTCATGTTTATTGCAAAGTATACATTTACTTCTAATTATAATATATATATTTTGTTATTTAAATGAGTCTTAAAAACGAATACTTTTTATTTTCCTGTCAATTGTATACGGATTATATGGTCAATGCCAAAATATATTTATCTTCGATTAATTTTCGGTAAGTTTCGTGAGATATTCACATTAAATTTATTAATTTGCGTAATTTGGTTAACTACGGGTTTATAATTTCTAGATGTTATATGTGTTGTAAGATGGGGACCGCGTAGGTTCATGATTAAAGCTATAATTGTTTTTTGATATGTTTTGGTAAAAGCAATACTTTTTTTTAAATAACATGATTTTAGAATTAATAATTATTCAAAACTCATTTAGAATACTACACTTAACAAATCTTATAAGTGTGCACGTATAAAAATCAAATTTTCTCAGATACTAATAAACATAGGTCTCTGAAATTTTAACCAAGTATAGTACAGATATGTGCAATGATGGGTATCGATTTTTATGTCAGGGCGATTCGTACTTACTGAGAAATAGCGATGTGTGCAATATTGCGCGAAAACCGAATTTCACATTTCTGTAAAATGTGTATTTATATTGGGTGCAAAAAGGTCTAAATCTCTTGATTTCACTAAAATACAAACATAAAACATAGGATCACCGATAGGGTATAATACTACAATGAATTCCAGGGCATTATGTCACTGTGATTTTAATATTTGCTTTATTGAATTTCAGTAAAGACTGGTTTATGTCGATCTCCGTAACGCGTTGTACCCAGTTGCTAAAAGCAATGCAAACACGATATTTTCATTAATATGAAAGTACCAAGAAAGTTTGTTTTTAGTTTTAAAGTAAAATCTTAGTCAATATGTTTATTTGAGAAAATATTATGCAAATTTATTTTCAAAATGGGCGCCTGAAATGCAAATTCCCTTGCGTAAAACTTCTTGACGGCCATTTTTCTTTCAATTGCAAAAATTCTGCAATAAATTTATGTTTTTTTGGATGTCTTTATTTTCATAGAATCCTTGATGGTCAATAATAACTTCATTTAGCGCCAACCTGTCACCCTCACGTGCACTTTGTTGTTTATGTCATGTCACGGATGAACGCACACAACAAAAATAACCGTTATTTCTGAATATAGCATTGTAAAATTAAACCATTCAAACGATGAATTCCAAAATTTGGGTAAAAAATGTCAAGTAATAAAAAAGTTATTCACA